CTAGAAATATTCTAATTATAGGTCCTGGGTTAAAATGCTCCCGTTGCCCTTTTTCTTAACGGTCCCGCCTATGAATCATTATTTCTGCAGATATTATATACTTTGATGCCCGAATTGTGGCAATCTATAAAAGTTCATGCGTTTTGGATGCCATTAAATGAAGTTACAAGGAGTTTAATAACGTTCTTTGATGAAAAAATTACATTGTTTTTTAGATAGATCTATATTAAAATTGGCACAGTTATTTAGAATACGGGCATGAAATTTAGGGTGCAGTTGAAGCGATCGCTCTCTCTCAAAGGCTGTATTGTAGTAGATAATAATTAATAACAAAAAAAGAAATAAAAAAATTAATTATGATTAAATACAAAGGTTAATAAAACTTTTCCCCCACAAAAAAAAAAATCAAGCACCTATTTTAGATGCCTGGATACCAGTCAACATGATTTAATTGATAAACTAGAAAAAATTATAATAAGCTCTCTTCGATTATATTCTTTCAGAACTAAAATGTAATTTTATAGTTGTAATGATATTGCTACCTTTTTTTCTCTAATGTATATAAGTTGAAATCAATAATATTTTATTTTGGCACTGCAAATTATGTTCACTATTTTTAGTTTTACTATTTAATTTATGACTATAATATACTTTATGTTTATTCATACTCTTACTCTTTGATGTTTACTTTCTGAAAATAAAAATTATTTAATTTAATAGTTAAAATATTTTCAAAAGGTTTGAGTAATATATTGTTTGAAATATATTTAAATGCAATACCTATGATTATTTGGCTTTTATAATGTTAAGAGTGATAAGAAAAAACAATCTAAAATGACAATCAACGATTTATAACTGCAATATRTATTATGTATATTATCTGAAATCAGTTCATTATTGGAAAAGATGTTTAATTTCCTCAAAAAAGGAAAACTGTTTAAACTATTTAATGTTTGTATACATGACATAGAAAATTAATATATATATATATATATATATAAAAACTTGCAGAAATATTAATGTTAACAGAAAATAGGATTGATATCTGATCGTTTGACATTTTCTGTATTGTTGATATTTTGTGTGTAAATCAGTGTAGAAACTTTTTATGAGCACCTCRAAAWTTTTACTTATTTATCATGTTCATAAGACGGAAACGTGAAATCTGTTAAAATATTTCCATCAGTTATGGTTCAACCGAAGTTCTTAAAAATAAGAGAGAATACACTCTTGTAGGGTTTTTGTCTTTAGATTTGAAAAATGTCATCRCGTAACTAATTTTGTCGACTAGGTATCAAAATACACGCAGCATTTTTCTGTTCATTTTATCCGGACAGTAAAAATGTATTAGTAATTTAAATGTATCATAATATTACTCTAGATAATTGGTGTATTAAGCTAATATAGTAATACCAAAATKTAGTGCTTTAAATATTACATACAACTGAAAAGTGAGATTCATTTAAGATCAAAAATAWTTATTAAATCTCTCAATAAAGTAAATATTTCTTMACTATAAAATATATAGCTAGTAAATGTATGAAAAAAATATTTTTATTTTAGATCTTGACATAATATRATATACTCTAATTATTTTTATAAATATYTAGAAATATGTATGTATWGATATTTAAATTCATCAAAATAGGTATTACGAGAATATGTATATACAAGGAAATGCTTTAATAATATTTTTGGAAAAATTATCTAAACTATACTGCAGTAAAATAGATAGTTAAATTAATTAATCAAACTCTTTAGTTAGTTTGGTTTTGGTTTAGTGGAAATGTGCCAATGTCATATTAAATTGAATTTCAAAAGCTTCATCCATGTACTGTACTAATTAACTTTCGTCTTTTAAATAGAAAATATCTCGAGAGGAACATTTTATTTATACTAAATGAAGCGTTGATGCAATAAAAGTGATTTTTATTTAAAAATTAAATTAAAAACTTTTGCTTCATATTCATTTAATTTGATTTYGGAAAGAGAAGGAATTCAATTTATACGAATTGAACAAATCTTCTTTAGTACCTACCTAATTATAGAATTATTTTCAGTAGGTAGTAACTGGGGTCAAATAATATTAAGCTCATCCCAATGCTTAATAAATGATAAAATCCAAATTAAGCCGTTATTAATATTTTGAAAATATAGTTATTTAAATATTAGAGATTTTTTCTTGTTTTATACAGAAATTGTTTTGACAAGTACGGTTCTCATATAGTTAACTTCAGCGTTACCTCACAGATTCAATTGTCGTTTCGTTTCAGCTCACCAGGCCCCAGGGAATACTTTATCCCCTTTCATATTTCTAACTTTCTTTACCTATGATGTCAGAATCAGTTATAAATAATACAATTGTATATAAATGTTATGGTTTCTAAGACTGCATATTACATTATGAGTATGAAGATACATGCTATAATCATTTTACTTCAATTTTAACATCGTAAAAATTATACCCAAGTTTCGAGTGTAAAATGTAGAAATACGTTAAGTATATCCTATATGCTAGTATTATAATATAGGTATATACATATTATAGGTATTAAACTTAAGATATGATATTTTCTACAGTAACATAGGTATATTTAAAATTATTTTGAATCAACTATTTGTGCATTTTAACGATAATATAATTTAGCGGGCTGAAAATAAAAAGGTTCTATGTCCACTTTTTTCAAAAATCRTTTTTTGCATTTATTTGTTTAGTTTTCAATTGTGCATCTTTTGATTCAAAAATGATGTTTTTACAATTAGTACTTAGTGAGATATAGAAAATGAAAAGGTTCTATATATCATGAAAAATTACAGAATCGTGATTATAGCTCTAGCTCGATAGAACTTTGTTATTCTGATAAGTTTACATAAGTATGAAAAGGTTCTATCGTCATGTTATTCAATGTTGGTTAGTATTAAAAGGTTCTATCAATAATACACGATGTCGTTGATACGATAAAACAAAAATTACAATAATATCGTACAATATTT